AACCTAGACCAGGGCTATTCAACTTTGGAAGCCCCAGGGGCCACAATGATACTCACAGCACATGCCAAGGGCTGCAGCTTAAGTGCGGTTGCATGTACATGCAAATATATATGCAAATAGTTTCTTTCACACAATGACCTGGCTCTCTCGGCCCCTCCTCCCTGGGGGCTAGAAATGCCGACACCCTGTACCCATCTGTTCCAGCCAGCCTGTCTGCTTGCGTCTTTCAATGCTCTTGGGAGATGCCTTGCCATTGCAGAGCATGTTCCCAGTGGAGGCCGTGTTCAAAGGATCCCACCTACGGGCCGTGTGGAGAGCCCCGTGTAAACACTGCAAGCCGCAAATAAAAGGACCACAGGACACATGCAACCCAAGCTGCATCTTGAGTAGCCCTGACAGTTATTCCCCATTTTGTGATTGTGTATTTGATTTTTCCTTCTTTCGTGAAGTACTTTGCACTTGTCTGGAGTGGATTTTATCTTGCTGAGGTCAGACCAATTGTCCAATTTGTCAAGGTCATTTTGAATTTGAAATCTGTGCTCCAAGGTGCCTGCAACCCCTCCCAGCTTGGTGCCATCTGCACATTTTATAAGCTTATTCTTTACTCCATTATCTAAATCATTAATGAAAAAGTTCAACAATACCGGACTGACCCCTGTGGGATTCCACTAGGCACACTCTCACAACAGGACAGCAAATCATAATAACTACTCTTTGTGAATGTTCTTTCAACCAGTTACACACATTCATCTAGGCCATATTTCCTTAGTTTACTTAAGAGAATTCGAATGTAGAGTTCAGATGTATTAATCTTTGGTGTTAGTGATAAATAAAAGGTGAAAATAAAGAAAACAATAAATGTCAGAGTTTACACACCCACTCTCACCCCTGCTTTGAACACACAGCATTTTATTTTTTTAAAAGACGCTTCTCCTCATGAAGGTCTTATTGCTGTGCCGTTTTTCAACCTTCTATCACAGCTATTCCCAGGGTTTAAAAATTCAAGAGTCTATCTGTAGTGAGGGGGAAGGGATAGCTCAGTGGTTTGAGCATTGGCCTGATAAACCCACAGTTGTGAACTCAATCTTGAGGAGGCCATTTAGACATCTGGGGCAAATCTGTTAGGGATGGTACTTGGTCCTGCCATGTGGGCAGGGGACTGGACTTGATGACCTCTCAGAGTCCCTTCTAGTTCTATGAGATGGGTATAAGTAAAAAAGATACAATTCAAGAGTCTTTCTATGATAGGAATAGGCTTTTAGTCTCCATTTTTTGTTGCAACTAATATAATACAATATAACATAATATATACCTGTCCATTAGAGTGTGTGGAAAATGTTATCCCCAAAGGGGCAATCTTCATATGAAAATAGGGCACTTTCATGGATACCATTATACAATCTTAACTGTTACAGTCCCTGCCCTCCTGCCATAATTAACTAGATTAAATTGGCTTTGTAAAAGGATTTGGATTCAATTTATATTTGTGAAGCGCTTGGATATACCCAGAATAAAAGTGGAGTAGATGTGTGAAATATTCTATAAGTTCAATGTAGCCTTTTCTCTAAAAAAAAACTCCTTGTATATATATGGAGTCTGTCCCCAATTGTGGAGTGTTTTCGTCTTGGGATTTATGGGTAAACATGGCAGTATGGCAAAAATCCTTTGAAGCACTGGCTGCTTTGGCTTTGGAGTTTAAAAATTTGGCTCATGGAAAAATTGGGCCAATGTCAGTCCATCTGGAAACTGCACAGGCCATCCTGTCTACAGTCCTGTTGTGAGTGAAAGAAAATAGAAACAAATTTAGGATCAAAATAACTGGAAATACATTGTTGCTTTCAGTGTCTCCTTCACCTGAGAAAAGATGTTTGCTTATGACTCTTTGACTCTGAAAGCCGTTCCTTTCCTCCTCATTTTGAGTCCTCTTTCTTGACAGTGAAGTAGTTAGTGGAGTCGTAGTGGAGACAAAGAAAGTTGGGGGTTTTGGTAATTGCACCACATTGTGCTGAGTTTCCTTTTGCTGTTTTAACTCTAAATATAACTTTCAATAGTCAGTGCTAGGCCAGCTTGTAATTACATACCCATTGCTCTGGGTTATTGCTTGTATTGGGGTGTTTTTTTGCTAAAAATATTAGCCAGTTTTCTAAGAGTGGCTGTAAACCATATTGTGGGTGTGTGGTATTGGCCTAAAACTATATAGTCTGGGCATTGGTATGATTATTTGTATTCCTCTCAGTTCACTCAGAGGTTTTTCATGAGATTCCATAGAAATCAAGTTGCAATGGGGGAGGTTTGGCTTAGATATTAAGAAAAACTATTCACTAGGGCCTATGTCTACACTGGCATGAATTTCCGGAACTGCTTAAAACGGAATACTATTCCGTTTTCAGTTTTTCCGGAAAAGGAGCATCTACATTGGCAGGCTGCTTTTCCAGAAAAGAGCCCCGATCGCCATTTTCGTGATCGGGGCTTTTTTCCGGAAAAGCATCCGTGGCCAATGTAGACGCGCTTTTCCAGAAAAGAGCCCCGATCGCCATTTTCGTGATCGGGGCTTTTTTCCGGAAAAGCATCCGTGGCCAATGTAGACGCGCTTTTCCAGAAAAGAGCCCCGATCGCCATTTTCGTGATCGGGGCTTTTTTCCGGAAAAGCATCCGTGGCCAATGTAGACGCGCTTTTCCAGAAAAGAGCCCCGATCGCCATTTTCGTGATCGGGGCTTTTTTCCGGAAAAGACTACTGGGCTGTCTACACTGGTCCTTTTCCGGAACAGTGTTCCGGAATAAGGACTTATGCCCAAGCGGGAGCAGAATAGTTTTTCCGGAATAGCAGCTGATTTTGTACAATAGAGCATCGTTGCTTTTCCGGAAATTCAAGGGCCAGTGTAGACAGCTCGCAGCTTATTCCGGAAAAGCGGCTGATTTTCTGGAATAAGTGGCCCAGTGTAGACACAGCCTAGGAGGGTGGGGAAGCACTGGAATGGGTTACCAAGGGCGCTGGTGGAATCTCCATCCCTAGAAGCTTTTAAGTCCCGGCTTGACATATACCGGGCTGGCATGATTTATTTGGGGTTGGTCTTTCTTTGGGCAGGAGGTTGGACTCAATGACCTCCTGAGGTCTCTTCCAACCCTGGGATTCTATGAATCTGAAGCAGCAATGATTGGATAAAATCTTGACATAACTTTATTTAATGAGGACTTCAGATTTTTAGGAGCATGTAGGACAGTGGTGTCCAACCTTTTTAAGCACGAGATCACTTTTGGAATTTAAGTGCAATCCAGGATCTACCTCAACCCAAATACCCTGGCCCCGCCTCCTTCTCACCCCTTCTCTGAGGCCCCACCCCTGCTCACACCTTCCTCCCTTCCCCCATCCTCCCTCCCTTTCACCAGGCAGGGGCAGAGGGTTGGGGCACAGGCTCTGGTCTTGGGGATTTGGCGTGTAAGAAGGGCTCTGAGCTGAGCCTGGGGCAGGGGATTGGGGTATAGGAGGGGGTTCTAGGTGCAGGCTCTGTAAGGGAGTTTGTGTCCAGGGCGCTCAGGGCTACGACAGCGGCTTGAAGTGCAGGAGGGGGTTCATAACGGGCAGAGGTTCGGAGCTGGATCAAGCTAGGAATTGCTTACTCAGTTCTGAGTGTTAGTGCAGTGGGGCTAAGGCAGGCACACCCCTACCGTGGTCCTGGACCACTCCCTAAAGCAGCCAGCAAAAAAAATCCCAAAATCTCTAATTATATATATATCTATGAACTAAGGTTCTGTCTACAGCTGTGGTGTCCAACATACTAGTCACTAACCACATGTGGCAGTTTAGCTTCAAAACTGGTTGGACACCACGGCTGTGTCTACGCTGGCATGAATTTCCAGAAATGCTTAAAACAGAGTAGTTTTCGTTATAAGTATTTCCGGAAAAAGAGCGTCTACATTGGCAGGCTGCTTTTCCAGAAAAGCATCTGTGGCCAATATAGACGCGCTTTTCTGGAAAAGAGCCCCGATCGTCATTTTCGCGATCGGGGCTTTTTTCCGGAAAAGACTACTGGGCTGTCTACACTGGCCCTTTTCCGGAACAGTGTTCCAGAATAAGGACTTATGCCCGAGCGGGAGCAGAATAGTTTTTTCCAGAATAGCGGCTGATGCTTTTCCGGAAATTCAAGGGCTAGTGTAGACAGCTCGCAGCTTATTCCGGAAAAGCGGCTGATTTTCCGGAATAAGTGGCCCAGTGTAGACACAGCCCACAGGTTTACAGTGACTTCAGCATTGATATTAGATATATGCTTGTGTTTAAGAAGAGAGCTCTTATCCACAGTTTCCTGGGAATCTTGCTTGACAAAATGATTGTTGATATTTGGAGTACATTGGTTTTCTAATAACTGTTTGACTAAACTGCAATATAGACATACCCATCTTAGGCACTCCATCCAATGGCCTCTTATCATGAATTACTACTATGATAGCCATGTTCTGTGCTACAACAGTTGGACTGCATTTAAAAGATATTTCAGAAGCAGGTACAAGATATGTCATGTTCCTCACAATACCTGCAGGCTTGTACTATAATATCATACCCTTTTCTAGATGAGTAAACTCACTCACACCAAGGGCTTATGTACACCCCAAGGCTGTGTTACTTTAACTATACTAGCATAGCTACAGTGATACATACCTCTCTCTCTCTTCCCCCATTATACCAGTATAAATGTGCTTAAACCAATATAGTTTATTTCTTTATAAGAAAGAGAATAAGTTATATGAATGAAAAGTACCTTGATACTGATATAGCTGCATTCTCACAAAGAATTGTATCTGTATAAATCACACACCCCTTACAGGCATTTATACTGGTATACGATTTCTGGGTAGAACAGGCCTAAGTTAATTGTCCAGGCTGTCACTGAAAATAAGGGGCAGAGCCTTGAACAGAATCCTTGAGCTCTGAATATATGGGCTTTCACTAATTCCTGTAGTATCTGACCATGTTTAATGTATTTCTCTCTTAATTCCCTTTCAGTAATTTGCTGTCTAATCCCTTTAATTGTAATTGCCATCTGGCATGGCTGGGGAAATGGCTGAGGAAAAGGAGAATTGTCAGTGGAAATCCACGTTGCCAGAAACCCTCTTTCTTAAAGGAGATTCCAATTCAAGATGTGGCCATCCAGGACTTCACCTGTGATGGTAAGGAAACTTGATGGGGCTTAGTATTTCACTACCAGACTGGTATTTCTGCTGGTTTTATCACGGAGTCAGCACCATGATATCATGATGAAAAAAGATGAATCAAATTTGTAGTAGAACCTCAGAATTAAGAACACCTCAGGAATGGAGGTTGTTCATAATTCTGAAATGTTCATAATTCTGAACAAAATGTTATGGTTGCTCTTTCAAAAGTTTACAATTGAATGTTAACTTAATCTGGAATCTCCATCTCTGGAGATATTTAAGAGCAGGTTAGATAGACATCTATCAGGGATGGTCTACATGGTGCTTGGTCCTGCTGTGAGGGCAGCGGACTGGACTCAATGACCTCTCAAGGTCCCTTCCAGTTGTAGTGTTCTATGATTCTATGATACCGTGATTAATACAGCTTTGATTAATACAGCTTTGCAGAAGGAAAATGCTGCTTTCTCTTGAATTTTTTTTAAGTAATTGACATTTAACCCAGGACTGTGTTTTATTTGCTTTTTAATGTCTCTGTTGCTGCCTGATTACATCCTTCTGGATCCAAATGAGGTGTGTGTTAACTAGTCCATTTGTAATTGTGGTGCTCGTAACTTTGAGGTTCTGTCATAGTCAGGAGGGAGAGAACTGTCCGGAATCAAATGTCATTGTTCAGTATCATCTGGGACTTCATTTTTTTGTTGGTGATGGCACCTGGATAGATTCCCATATTGTGGTCCCCCTCCCTCCAAACCCAGACATAAGTACAAATTCTTGCACAATCGTCTGGTTGCTCTGGAGTCTTTCAGAATACACCTTTTTTCAACCTTGAATCCTGCATTCAGCTCCTTGCCAGGGAGTTTGATGAACAAAACCATCTTCCTTGAGAATGATGCCAGTGTAGTTAGTG